GGGAAACATTTGCCATATCAGCCACTGCAAATTCACATATATATCCTTTTCAGAGAATGATAGTGGACATGATAAAATCAGAACGTCGGAGGAGACAAAACATCTTGCTCAAACAGTTGAAGAGAATTATTTACATGGAAGGCGAAGGGATCCAGTGCCTGAAATGGGAGTGAAAAGGCTGGCATTCCTATCTTCATTTCCAAACTTTGACCTAATTAAGGGAACTGGCATCGACTATATGCACTGTATTTTATTGGGTGTGCTGGAAATGATTATTGGTCTATGGATCGATTTGGATCACAAAGATAAGCCCTGATCAATTCGTCATCAATTGGTGTTCTTTATGAAAGAATTCACAAAATCCGTCCACATTGTTTGATTTCCAGACTACCCAGAAATATAGATGAATTAAGTGACTGGAAGGCATCTGAATACAGGACGTTCCTGTTATATTATTCATTGCCACTTCTAGAAGATGTACTTCCCCCCATTTATTATGAACATTATAGTAATCTTGTGAAAGGTACATTTCTCCTTTTAAGACATCAATTTCTCAGGTTGATTTACGTATGGCTATATTCTGATTTACGTAGGGCTATATTCTGATTTACGTAGGGCTATATTCTGATTTACGTAGGGCTATGTTCTGATTTACGTATGGCTATAGTCTGATTTACGTAGGGCTATAGTCTGATTTACGTAGGGCTATGTTCTGATTTACGTAGGGCTATGTTCTGATAGATATGTTTAATGTTCATTGTCTTTTACATTTATGTTTAAAAGTAGAAGAGTTGGGGCCTCTGTGGACTCAGTCATGTTTTATTTTTGAAGGTCTTAATGGGGATTTACGAAATCAGTTCCATAGAACTCCGCAGATTGACCTTCACATTGGAACAGCTGTCTGTGTACAAAACAAAATTCCAGAGCTTGTAGAAAAGCTAGATGATGGTGCTGTGAAAGTGTTTTACCTAAGAATGACAGCTGGAGTCAAAAATAAGTCTGACCGTACAAAAATAGGACGAGATACTTTTGTAGTGTGTTCCAAAACATTATATATTCCTGAGCAGACAGAAAGAATATTTCTAGAAAAAGTGTTGGGGGAGATTGCAGAATATCATGTGTTTTACTGAAAAATAAAATCATGTTGTACAGTGAAGAATATAAACCTGTCAAGGAAAGAAATTCTTACACTTTCAGATGTGGAAATGGCATGTACTGTCAAGTAATATATTTTGTGCAGTGTACAACTGACTATGGGTACAAATTTGCTGCCATTGTAAGAAATCTCTGTGTACGTAATGCAAAAACAAATATTGCTGAAGTGTCTGTTGGTTTAACTAAAGTAATGCTCATTGACGAGATCTATGAACCAAACCTCCTTGAGAAGGATTGACTTATCAATGTGCAGGCTTCAACTGTGTTATAGTGCAATGTGCTATGTGAATTAATGAAAAGTTATCATGTAAGGAGCCTTAGGTGAGCTTAAATGAAAATTTTGTGAGAAATTTCATCAGTTTTTGTATTGTTTTGTACTAAAGTGTTTGGTATTGTATTGGTATTGTATTGTATTGTGTTGTATTGTATTGTATTGTTTTGTATTATGTTGGTATTAATTGTATTTTGTTGTATTGTATTGTGTTGTATTGTGTTGGTATTGTTTTGTATTCTATTGGATTGTACTGTATTGATTGTATTGTATTGTTTTGAAATGTTTTGTACTGAACTGTTTGGAATTGTATTGGTATTGATTGTGTTGTATTGTATTGGTATTGATTGTATTGTATTGTATTGTGTTGTATTATGTTGGTATTAATTGTATTGTGTTGTATTGTATTGTGTTGTATTGTATTGTATTGTGTTGTATTGTATTGTATTGTTTTGTATTATGTTGGTATTAATTGTATTGTGTTGTATTGTATTGTGTTGTATTGTATTGTTTTGGATTGTACTGTATTGACTGTATTGTATTGTTTTGTATTGTATTGGATTGTACTGTATTGATTGTATTGTATTGTCTTGAAATGTTTTGTACTGAACTGTTTGGAATTGTATTGGTATTGATTGTGTTGTATTGTATTGGTATTGATTGTATTGTATTGTGTTGTGTTGTATTGTATTGTATTATGTTGGTATTAATTGTATTGTGTTGTATTGTATTGTGTTGTATTGTATTGTATTGTATTGTACTGGATTGTACTGTTTTGATTGTACTGTATTGATTGGTATTGTGTTGTATTGTATTGGTATTGATTGTATTATTAGTTAAACAGATTTTTGGCAGGGTATACGGGATGGTATGACCCTAAAGGGTTTCGTATTTCCTGAGGCCGATAGGCCGAAGGAAATAGAAAATCCTGTAGGGTCATACCATTCCTTATACCCTGCCAAAAATCTGTGTAACAAATTTATTACCCCTTTGAGTCTTTTATATTGGTTTTGTACAGTTCTCCGTCAACTTTTCTGTTGTCAAGATAAAAATGGCACAGTACCTCATTTAGTTTCGTTTTATCAAATTGCTCGAACTGTTCTCCCTGATTCTTTTCTTTTAAATACGTCCTCAGCATGTTTGCCACTCGTCTGTTAGACTTTTGCGTGTTTTGTGGTACATAGTTTGCCCTTTTGGTGAGTATTTCCTCATCAGTATGCGAAGTGAAACGTTTTGCAATTTTGTAAACAGCGAAGCAGACCACGAATGCGAGTTGTCTCCCGTTGCCCCGCTGCAAGATACAAAGACACGTGACCCGTATACCCCTTGTAAAATCACATGATTCCACCGTATTACTGCTGAGAATCATGTGACATGACCGTATACCCCCTGAGATTTTCGTATACCCCCTGAGATTTACGAATGCGGTTTGGTACACTGTAGTTTCTAACCAATCAGATTCCTAGATTTTTCTCAAAGGGGTAATAATGTGTTGTATTGTATTGTTTTGTACTGTATTGATTGTTTTGTATTGTTTTGTACTGAACTGTTTGGTATTGTATTGGTATTGATTGTATTGTGTTGTATTGTACTATGTTGTATTGTATTGTATTATGTTGTGTTGTGTTGTATTGTATTGGATTGTCCTGTATTTATTGTTTTGTATTGTTTTGTACTGAACTGTTTGGTATTGTATTGTATTGTGTTGTATTGTATTATATTGTATTGTGTTGTATTGTATTGTATTATGTTGTATTGTGTTGTATTGTATTGAATTGTACTGTTTGTTATTGTTTTGTATTGTTTTGTACTGAACTGTTTGGTATTTATTAGCTCACCGAAGGACCAAGGTGAGCTTATGCGATACCGTGGCGTCCGTCGTCCATCATCTGTCCGTCCGTCCGTCGTCTGTACGACTTCTTCTTCTTAACCACTGATTGGAATTAGCTTATTCTTAACCACTGATTGGAATTTGACTAAATTTGACTGGAAGCATCCTAGGTGGTGGGGATTCAAAATTGTACAAATGGTTGGGCTGCCCCCCCAGGGGGCTGAGGGGCGCAGCCAAAAGGGGTCAATTTGGCTATATTGCTTTAAGCGACTTTTTCTCTGGAACTAAGAGATGGATATCAACCATATTTGACTGGAAGCATCTCTAGGTGGTGGGGATTCAACATTGTACAAATGATAGGGCTGACTCCCCAGGGGGCTTAGAGGCGCGGCCAAAAGGGGTCAATTTGGCTATATTGCTTTAAGCGACTTTTTCTCTGGAACTAAGAGATGGATATCAACCATATTTGACAGGAAGCATCTCTAGGTGGTGGGGATTCAAAATTGTATAAATGGTAGGGCTGACCCCCCAGGGGGCTGAGGGGCAGGGCCAAAAGCAGGCAATTTGGCTATATTGCTTTAAGCGACTTTTTCTCTGGAACTAAGAGATGGATATCAACCATATTTGACTGGAAGTATCCCTAGGTGGTGGGGATTCTAAATTGTACAAATAGTGGAGCTGACCCCCCAGGGGGCTGAGGGGCGAGGCCAATTTGTCTATATTGCTATAAACGACTTATTCTGTAGAAATGGATATCGACCATATTTGGTCGGAAGCATTCATGGGAGGTAGGGATTCAAAATTGTACAAATTTTGTTGCTGACCCCCTAAGGGGTTGGGCCAAAAAAAGTTTATTATTTGGAAATGGTTGAGATCCCCACTGTATAACCTTATATATACAATATCTGAGTATAAAGAGAAGAATGCACAGTTGCTTCCAGGATTGCTCTAGGGTCTGGCCCCACCCTTGGAGACATAGTCCCTTGGTCATAAATTTGAAACGGTTGAGATCCCCTCCCCAAAACTATAAATACAAAGCCGGGCATAAAGAGACGAATGCAGTCATGATATTAGAATAGACCCTGGAGTGTGACCGAACCCCTAGGGACCTAGTTTCTTAGTCACAGCTTGGAAACAGTTGAGATCCCCACCCAAAAACCATATATACAATTGCTGAGTATAAAGAAATGATTGCACATATGCTTCCAGGATGGCCTTGGGGTCTGCCCCAGCCTTGGAGACTTAACCCCTGGGTCATAACTTCAAAATGGTTAAGATCCCCACCCCAAAACTATATATACAATTGTTGGGCATAAAGAGATTAATGCAGTCATGATATTAGAATGGATCCCAGGGTCTGCCTCACCTTTGCAGACTTAACCCCTGGGTCATAACTTTGAAACGGTTTAGATCCCCACCCCAAAACTATAAATACAAATGCTGGGCAAAAAGAGACGAATGTAGTCATGATATTAGATTTGATCTTGGGGTCTGGCCACAACCTATGGACCTAGTTTCTGTCAGTCACAGCTTGGAAACAGTTGAGATTCCCACCCCATAACCATACATAAAATTGCTGGGCATGAAAAATTTAATACAGATATGCTACAAGGATTGGCCTTGGGGTCTGGCATATTCCCTTGGATCTCATTTGGAGAATATTTTGCCATGATTGCTTAGATATCCAGGTCAAACTGGGCCTCTTGTTGTATTGTGTTGTATTATATTGTATTGTATTCACAGGGAAGAGACAGGTGAGGAGTCCTATCTGATGCCTGTTGGGGGATCCAGCTCCGTTGGTTTATTTGGCTACATCACAGTGTTTGAAGAATTGATTTCTCAGGTACTCATTGTACTATAGTCAGATAATCTTGTTATTGATGTCTGGACCTCTGTGCAATCACTGGTGGGAGAATTAATTGAGATGCAATTCTTATTTTAAACAGTTACTCAAAACTCTTGATAGTAAGCCTAATTTGAAAATAGGCTGGCTTGAAAATTTGCATTGGATTACAGGTAGAAGCTATTTTATCCCTGTCAGCTTAATCAAGTTTTACATGTAACTTCTGTATACCTGGAACTTTTCACCCTTCACATTTAATCACTATGTATATTATGTTGTTTACAAATGTTTGCTCTACTGATAAATTTGTCCTCATTACCAAGGGCCTAAAAGCTGAAAATTAAACTGCAGAACAATTTCCAAGTATACAATATCAATTTATATGATTATTACTGCTTTGCAGCAAAAACAAAATTCATTAAAAATTACAGTTTAACAGGTTTTTCAGGTCATCTGAGCTTTGCTCAAGTGACCTTTTCTGATCGCTTTCCATCTGTCATCGTCCCTTGTGCCTAAACATTTTTAGCTCACATGGTCTGAAATCCTTCTTCTTCTGTAGGAATGAAAGGATTTGTTCCATATTTTGTCTGAAGCAACCTTGGGTGAAGGGGAACCAATTTTGTATAAACCGTGGGTCTGGCCCCCAGAGGCCTGAGAGGCGGGGCCCAATAGAGGAAACACAGCAAATTATTCTTTAAAATCCTTCTTCTTCTGTAGTAATGAAAGGATTTGGTCCATATTTGGTGTGGAACATCCATGGATAAAGGGGAACCAATTTTGTATAAACGATGGGTCTGGCCCCCCTGGGGGCTGAGGGGCGGGGCTCAATAGGGGAAACATAGCAAATTCGTTAAAATCCTTCTTCTTCTGTAGGAATAAAAGGATTTGTTCTGAAGCATCCTTGGTTGAAGGGGAACCAATTTTGTATAAACCGTGGGTCTGGCCACCCAGGGGCCTGAGAGGCGGGGCGAAATAGGGGAAACATAGCAAATTATTCTTTTAAATCCTTCTCCTTCTGTAGGAATGATAGGATTTGGTCAATATTTGATGTGGAACATCCATGGGTAAAGGGGAACCAATTTTGCATAAACGGTGGGTCTGGCCCCCCTGGGGGCTGAGGGGCGGGGCCCAATAGGGGAAATATAGCAAATTCTTTAAAATCCTTCTTCTTCTGTAGGAATAACAGGATTTATTCTGAAGCATCCTTGGGAGAAGGGGAACCAATCTTGTATAAGCCATTGGTGTGGCCCCCCAGGGGCCTGAGGGGCGGGGGCAAATAGGGGAAACATAGCAAATTATTCTTTAAAATCCTTCTTCTTCCGTAGGAATAAAAGCAGTTGGTCCATATTTAGTGTCAAGCATCCTTGGGTAAAGGGGAACCAATTTTGTATAAACGGTGGGTGTGGCCCCCCTGGGGGCTGAGGGGCGGGGCCTAATAGGGGAAATATAGCAAATTCTTTAAAATCCCTCTTCTTCTGTAGGAATAAAAGGATTTGTTCTGAAGCATCCTTGGGTGAAGGGGAACCAATCTTGTATCAACCGTGGGTCTGGCCCCCCAGAGGCCTGAGAGGCGGGGCCCAATAGAGGAAACACAGCAAATTATTCTTTAAAATCCTTCTTCTGTAGGAATGAAAGGATTTGGTCCATATTTGGTGTGGAACATCCATGGATAAAGGGGAACCAATTGTGTATAAACGATGGGTCTGGCCCCCCTGGGGGCTGAGAGGCGGGGCTCAATAGGGGAAACATAGCAAATTCTTTAAAATCCTTCTTCTTCTGTAGGAATAACAGGATTTATTCTGAAGCATCCTTGGGAGAAGGGGAACCAATCTTGTATAAGTCATTGGTGTGGCCCCCCAGGGGCCTGAGGGGCGGGGGCAAATAGGGGAAACATAGCAAATTATTCTTTAAAATCCTTCTTTTTCCGTAGGAATAAAAGCAGTTGGTCCATATTTAGTGTCAAGCATCCTTGGGTAAAGTGGAACCAATTTTGTATAAACGGTGGGTGTGGCCCCCCCTGGGGGCTGAGGGGCGGGGCCTAATAGGGGAAATATAGCAAATTCTTTAAAATCCTTCTTCTGTAGGAATGAAAGGATTTGTTCCATATTTGGTCTGAAGCAACCTTGGGAACCAATTTTGTATAAACTATGGGTGTGGCCCCTAAGGGGCCTGAGGGGCGGGGCCCAATAGGGGAAACATAGCAAATTATTCTTTAAAATCCTTCTGCTTCTGTAGGAATGAAAGGATTTGGTCCATATTTTGTGTAGAACATCCATGGGTAAAGGGGAACCAATTTTGTATAAACGATGGGTCTGGCCCCCCTGGGGGCTGAGGGGCGGGGCCCAATAGGGGAAAATAGCAAATTCTTTAAAATCCTTCTTCTTCTGTAGGAATAAAAGGATTTGTTCTGAAGCATCCTTGGGTGAAGGGGACCCAATTTTGTATAAACCGTGGGTCTGGCCCCGAGGGCGTAAAAGCTGAAAATTAAACTGCAGAACAATTTCCAAGTATACAATATCAATTTATATGATTATTACTGGTTTGCAGCAAAAACAAAATTCATTAAAAATTACAGTTTAACAGGTTTTTCAGGTCATCTGAGCCTTGCTTAAGTGACCTATTCTGATTGCTTTCCATCTGTCGTCGTCTGTTGTGCGTTAACATTTTTAGCCCATCATCATCTGATGGTGGGCTATTCAAATCACCCTGCGTCGGTGGTCCGTCGTCCGTCGTCCGTCCGTAAACAATTCTTGTTATTGGTATTTCTCAAGAAGTACCGGAGGGATCTTTCTCAAATTTTATATGCAGGTTCCCCTTGGTCCTTAGCTGTGCAGGGCAACTTTTGAGACTGATCGGATAAACAACATGGCAGACAGGCAGCCATCTTTGAATTTGATATTGAAAGTTTGTTATCGCTATTTCTCGGGAAGTACCAGAGGGATCTTTCTCAAATTTTATATGTAGGTTCCCCTTGGTCCTAAGCTGTGCAGGGCAATTTTTATGAGACTGATCGGATAAACAACATGGCCCACAGGCAGCCATCTTTGATTTTGATAGTGAAAGTTTGTTACCGCTATTTCTTAAGAAGTACCAGAGGGATCTTTCTCAAATTTTATATGTAGGTTCCCCTTGGTCCTTAGCTGTGCAGGGCAATTTTAGAGACTGATCGGATAAACAACATGGCCGACAGGTAGCCATCTTGGATTTTGATAGTGTGGGTTTGTTACCGCTATTTCTCCGGGAGAACTAGAGGGATCTTTCTTAAATTTTATATGTAGGTTCCCCTTGGTTCTAGCTGTGCAGGGCAATTTTAGAGACTGATCGGATAAACAACATGGCAGACAGGCAGCCATCTTTGATTTTGATATTGAAAGTTTGTTATCGCTATTTCTCGGGAAGTACGGGAGGGATCTTTCTCAAATTTTATATGTAGGTTCCCCCTGGTCCT